ATATTTTGGGTGTGTTACAGTCTTATTCAACTATTGGTTCAGTAATAATACAAACTGTTTCCTGGGAAACATTGATGCCTCAAGTAGCAAATCGACGATATACGTCTGCCGTGAAAGATGCATGGTAAGAAAACGGGATTGTCTTAGAGTGCAAAAACATTAAACGATTACATGCGTACTCGGAAACGAGAAAAGTTAAGGATTATGAGAAATCACAGCAATGAGTCTACGTATTTCATTTATTCATTTGCACTACATGCAGTTTGTAGCCTTAAGCATTTTGGGAAAAGATACGCCAATAATGCATGAACGACTAGACGCTTTTTCCATGTCAGCCCCTCTAACCTGCATCACTGACAGGGGGAAACTGGGTTAAAAACATCTGAAGGTATTTTATCAAACTATGCCGGGATTGAACCCTGGACCCTCAGATTAGTGAGCAAGCGTCTAAATCATTGAGCCATCGCGACTCCGGTGTGGTGTGTAGAATTTCAAAGACAATAGCATGAGCATGAGAGATCACAGCCTAAAGCCAATGTGGCCTCCCCCGACCGGCATCAGTGACCTGGGGAAGCTGGTATGCCTAACAATTCACAACTACATGTATATCAATAAAAAAACATTTACACCAAAACATGGACTTTATGGGGTCGACCATGCAGAACGTATCGGTATTAATGAGAGAATAACGAGGGGATAATCACAAGGCTTTATAGTAGTATCTTCTTTCCCACTTCAAATGCTTCTAAACAAAGTATCCTTTAATGAAAGGTTAAACTTGATTCATGAACTTTCCGCCTAATCAAGCGCAAAGAAAATTGTTTGTGTTTGTACTTATTGGTATTTACGCTACTCCTATTAAGATGTGAACAATATCAAATCTTTAGGGAGGGTAAGGTGTCTGTTGAGAAAAGGGGGGGGGGGGGGGGTGAGTTCATGTTGAATTGACCTGAGAGAAACCTTATTTTACGTGAATGAAGCGCATATACAGCTATTGTATTTGTGTTTGTACTTATTAGCATTGTTGATGCGCATATTAAAATTTGAAGAATATTTTTTAGGGCGTGTCCCTTTGGTAGAGTGTCGACAGATATGAGAGCAGCTGCATTTGCCCGGAAAGAATCTGAATAATCGCTTGATTTAGTAGATCTGAACCCGACAGAAACTGAAAATTCGCCAGTAAGTTGGTTTTCTGGTAATAAAATCTTGTCTTAATCTATATCATATAGGATGGCAATTTCTGTACTGGTGAGGATTGTATGTCCAAAACACGTGTCGGTTGGAAATTATGTCATAATACCGGTAAAACATAGTATAGTATGATGTAATAAAGAATGAATGAGTGTATATGTTGACAGTACTGAAGTTTTTCATTGTCGTATGTTACGGTGATCAGTCATGTTAGATGTACCTGTCATTGTATGATAGGCGTGGGACGAAATAAAATCTTATGTTACGGGAAGTTAACGAATTGTACAACATTAAAATATGGTCACTAAAAACACAAGAATACTAGGTTGTGCTAGAATAGTCAAATTTTCCCTTTAGAGTACTACCATAACAATGTAAAATGGTCCCTGAGAAATACAAAATGCTCTTCTTTACCATCGTACAAAATAAAGTCGAAATGATCCATTTTTGGTCTTTAAAAATGGGTTCCCTTATTTTTTAGTATCAAATTAAGCAAACATTGTTATTAATTGGCGTTTCTAATGAATTATCGTGTATTCTAAATCATATCATTATGTTCTTATTGCATATAATTAAGAGTTTTAACCAAGCATAAATGCCCATGTATATGTACAGTCTTGATCGGTCACTCATTGGAATTCTGCTGGTAATTCTCTTCTAATTTAAATCAAGTAAGGACATTTGTGACCGATATTTTCCAAGTCATTAGAAGACCTCTACTTTCTAGTTATATAAGTAGTAGCATCTCATTTTCATAAGGGAACCCATCTTTAATGGTACAAGAAATAGTATAAAGTCAAAATGTTTCCAAGTGATGAAATTCGTTAGAATTCAAAATGGTGCCAGATGACGGACAAAATGTTCCAGTTTTGGACAAATCCGTATAAAAAAAAAACGCCGTATTGACTATCAATACACAGTACACAAGAAACGCTAAATAATCGAATTGGGGTTGAATAACATTGTATATTTGTTTAGAGAAAGGCAAAATGTTAGGATCGATAGTGTTATTGGTTCTGAGGCGAATTTTTGCACAAGAAATAGTAAAGTTTGAAAGACCTCGTGCATACGAAACTACACATGGTTGTTACATCGTAATGACACACGAACGTAGTTCACAACCATTTTGAATCAATTCCTCGACTTAAAAAGTCGATTATTTCAAAAAAAAAAAACTTCAGATTGCCCTTGAAATTGGCTGTGAACTACGTTCGTGTGTGTTATGTCCATGGATTGCAAAACTCATGCGTAGTTTCGTATGAGACCATGTTTACAGACAAAGCCTTTCTGAAAATCTTTCGTACCATCATGTATAGAGACTTCGACTAGCTCGACTTCGTGACCATCCCTCTACCCCACCAGTGTTTTGCCTCGTGCCGTGAGCCCCCACCCTCCCCCACCACTTGTCAATTCTGTGACCCCTACTCGACGAATGATTCATAAAAGCGTAATTGATTCAATCAGTGTCAAGCGTATTACTAATGTATAGTAATAGATTCATCATTCAATACGCTATAAAAATATTAACAATGAATTCCATAATCCGTCCATCGATCTACAAGAAAATCTTAAAGTTTCCACATGGTTGACGTTATTATGTCACCTAAACCTACTCTTTATTTCTTTTATAAAACTTCTTTTAAAACAAATTTTAGTCTTTAAAAATATTGAAAGATGTGTTTCCTTATTTTTTGTGTAAAATTAAGCAAACTATTTGTTTAATTGGTATTTCTGATGAATTATCATGTATCATGATTATTAATCATATCATTATGTTCTTATTGGATATAATTAAGAGTTTTAACATCATAAATGTCCATGTATGTACAATCTGGATAAACAAAAAAAAAGACTTTTTGACCTTTCTTGATCGGTCACTCATTGGAATTATCTCTTCTAATTTAGCTAATTATGATTTAATTATGGACATGTGAGACAAACTTCTATTTTCCAAGTCATAAATAAAAATAAGGGAAACCATCTTTAAGTAACCTTTTGATACACATGAAATGAAAACATTTCAAACATATTTTTATAGCATCCTGTATCCTTTTATGAAAGGAATTGAAATGAAAATTACGTTTTAATGTCACACACCATATTGGTCTAACAATCGTTAATTCGCCTACTGACTCAATTCAATCACCAATTCAGTGCATTAAGATATGCTCTGGTCGACCTCGCGGCTGGTAGAATCCGATAGCAGCTGGAATCTGCAAGGCAGCTGTCTGGATTTCGATTGTGAAGAGTTTTTCTAAATTTGTATATGTATCGGGGACTCTGAATGCATCAATTTGCACCATTCAAATTTTCAATCAGACGTCTATGGTTCTTGCAATTCCACTTAAATTAAGCGTTTGATGACGTCACTAATCGCAAAATATGCTGTATCACATAAGGACTTTAAGCGATTAGTGACTTCATAAAACACTTACTTTTAATGGAACCATGGAAGTCTTTTTGAAAATTGAATTGCTGCAAATTAGTGCATTCAACGTCCCGGATGCACATAAACAATAAGGAAAACCTCTTTACAATCTCTTTAACGAGGAAGGGACCCTTGTGGAGAAATCAATAAGTATCACCTCTTCCTATACCCTGAATTTCGTATTAAAAAAATTTGGCCTCATTGAGTACACGGACAAAAAAGCGACACGATACTAAATTATATATACATGTACTGTCATTTTCTGAAGCATGACGTTTATGGCTTTAATGACACATTTTAAATTCAAACCATCCAATCCCTTTACACGTATTTTAACCATAAACCAAAATCCCTATTTTATATTCCAAACCCCCATTACGGAATGGCATTATGTCCAAAATTTAAACCCCTCGAATGTCAAATATCATACGGTGTACAAACTCACTCACAAATAAAACTGTATTTTCTGTAAAGTTACAAAGTCTCTTCTTTATAACTCTAACCCTCCTGAATTACACACGATCTTGTTTATTTTCTTTATTAACTATAAATTTAAACGTCCTGTGCCTATGCTTTCGTACTATTGTTTTCAATGCAATGTTACAACATGAGGAGTGCCGTATTTGAAAATTAAACCTTTATCATAATATTATGTAATAATCTTCAATGAACCGTTAGCTTTCTTTAAAATATTACTTCTTGGTAGCAAAGCTTATCAATACAGTGTATAAACTTGGACATAAAAAATATATCATCTAAAAAATTAAAACTCTTTTTCCGTGTGGCTGAATCTTAATAAACCGAAGTCCTATTTAATAATCCTAACCCTTAAGGACTTTATTAAGGAGTGGCTGATTTCTCAAATTTAAACCACATTTCATAAACTAGAAGTGTTCTTTAAATTTAAGATAATACTTCGCAGTAATGGTAAAATAGCTTATCAATACGGTATACAAGCTCGGACATACACCGCGGTGTTTTCAAACTCAGGTAGTTGGCCATACATATACAGTAATACAATATACACATTTTGCCTTGTGTATCAAATAAAAACATACACAATACAATCTACACCTGAAGTCGCCCGTGTGGTATTCGATTCATTTAATATTTTAGGAATACTAAAACGCATTCGTGATTTTAAATAAAAATGTGAATGTCAAACTCACCGTTAATCCTAATTAATTAATCCGCTTTAAAGAGCTAATTGGTTGATAAAGACCAGACGCGAATATCACACATGAGATAGTCAACTGTTGTGCTCTAACACGCTTCGCTACTTTTCCAGTCGCCGGAAGTAGACGTGAGGTGAAAACGAGGCCCACGACATTCCTTCGTTAATGTTTACCATAGCAACTGATCGGCTAACATTGGATTATCTGTTTAACAATTCATTATTTACTGTTACAATTAATCCAGCGTTATTTGTTCTGATGTTTGGAATCTATTTTGTTTTTTGGTATGGATTTTAGACTAGGACTATATGTAAAAGTGTAATATTGCAAGGGGATCTAAATTTACTTTTAATTATTGATATAAAAGGAAATCCTAAGGTAAGCATATAGCGTGTATCGAGAAAACTTGTGGAGTATATATCGATATTATGTGTGACCTACTTTTAACATGAATCATTAAAGGGGTTGTGAATAGATTTTCTAGCTTTCTTATGTGTGTATCGGGGCAGTGGCGTTTCTATAATTTTGAAAAACATGAATCATTATTGACTCTCATTCTTTTATCGTGGTTATGAAAGGATTCAATCGTTTGCTAAGCATGTTCATCACGCGAAACATTAAAGGAATTGTAAACAGGTTTTTCTAATATTTTTATATGTATCGGGCAATTCTACTAAAACTAAGCGTTTTATGACGTCACTAATCGCAACGTCCTTATGTCATACAGCATAATATTTTGCGATTAGTGACGTCATCAAACACTTAGTTTAAGTGAAATTGCAAGAACCACGTACGTGTGATTGAATGGTGCAAATTGATGCATTCATTCTGCCCGATACACATAAAAAAATTAGAAAAACCTGTTTACAATTCCTTTAATGTTTCGCGTGAACATGCTTAGCAAACGATTGAATCCTTTCATAACCACGATAAAAGAATGAGAGTCAATAATGATTCATGTGCAATGACATTTGTCAGGTGAGGTTGTCCTGAACCTATTCCAGACAGGTCTTCCGTGATATTTGATAGATCTAAAGGTAGAGTGTAGAGTGACACACAAAGCAATTGACAACAATGGACAGCTTTCGTTGACTTATAATAAACACATATAGTGGACGACCACTGTTGGTCCAGAAACGCATTATTATTCTTTTTACTGAATACTCCAAATGTTACTGAGAATCTTACGTATCTGATGAAAATTCCTAACACAAAAGAGTTATACTTTGAAAATTAGATTCTCCGTCCAAAATATGAATCATTTTTAAAGGGATAGTTGTGCCATTTTGGGAGAGTGATTTTAGACTTGAATATTTGTAAGGGAATTATGCGATATTCGTACATTTCTAGTACTTCTGAAGACAATTTACATATATTCAAGACTCAAATCAACCCCCAAAAATGGCGCAACCGTCCCTTTAAATTAAACTTAAGCAAAGCCACCTGCATGACACAATTACAATGAAATCAAATGCAATTCGTTTATCTTGTATCTTTTTTATTGATTTTTTCGAATCAAGGGAAATAACTCATATGAATTGATTTTGAAATTAAAAACGGACAATTTTTGCAAGTTTAAACATGTCTTTGGCATTCGCCGATCTATAATATCTTTTGGAAACAACTTAAAGTATAGAGATTTTGTATGTGTATCGAGGACACTGATGGCATAAATTTTTTATTTAAAATTTTCAGATACGCTAAGGGACACATTTCTCTATATAATTGTGTACAGTTTTCACAAATTTTTCGACCTAAACAAAGCCGAATGCCCCTTTAAGCTAAATACAATGAGAGCTTAGTTGGCAGGAAATAAACTGATGTCACAACACATAAGGTAAATACTATGAGTTTGTACGGATGGACTTGTTGAACAACAAATACAATCTCCCCAAATATGTCACCCGGGTGAAAATCGATCTCTTCTATTTGTCAATATTTAGGCTTTTCCTATAACATAATTATTGTGGGCTAGCCAGTCATATTTATGTATTATCCTTAGCCTTTACGTCAAACAAGTGGTTGTCGTGAGTTCTATTTTTGGGGGGCGTGTCAAAGTTTGGTGACCTTGAATAGTCATCTTTCCTCCTTATTCCCACCGACGCAGCTGTAAATGAGTAAGGATATTCCGGGAAAAATCGATTCAAAGAGAGTTGAATCTTTGATATCATGAGATGAGCTCCAGCAGAATAATGACGTTAAATTTTTTTCTATTTTTAGAAATGGCATATACTCCTAGAAAGACGACCACCCCATACCCAGGTTACGATGAAACTTGGACACATGTAGATCCCCAACCCGTAGCCAGAGTTAAACCCGAAGCTGAAGAATTCGCCAGAAAACATCAGGGGGCTATCAACTTATTTAATCCTGCAAAAGAAAGAGTCGAACAAGCTCCCGTTCCAGAGCCACGATGTCCATCAGCGGCTGCCCGATCAAATCTTGAGCAACATCGCAAAGGACACGTTGGTGACATACTAACAGGATCAGCTACCCCTCGGGTGGATTATGAAGTTGTCCCACGTGTAAAGCCAGAAGCAATGTCTAATGCTCAAGCACATCGTGGTACATCTACTGCTCACCTATTTACTGATTATGGACGTTTGCCTGCCTCAGCTCGAAAGCAACCGAAGGTAAAACCTGAAGGTGAAGTAAACGCCTCTCTGGATCTCGGTAGTAGAGCAAAGAGTATCCTCCATAATCCGAAAGAAATTCCACCATCTCCTAAACCAGACCCACGAGTTAAACCAGAAGGCGAGGGAAACGCGCACTTAGATCGTGGAAAGCGAATGATGAAAATAGTAAATAAATATGGAACGGGGAGTGGCACAGATCGCGGTGTACCACGGGTTAAACCAGAGGGTACAGACAATGCTATTCTTGACACTGGTCACAGAGCGTCTAATCTTTTGCGAAAGTATGGTAACATGCCACAGGAGTGTCAACCTGAACCCAAAGTTACGTCACAGGGTATAGACAATGCTAATTTAGACAAGGGAGGACGAATGAATCGTCTAATGCACGAAGGAAGTAAAGGAAGACGATCACCTCGACCGCCACCAAGAGCAACCACTTCTTCAGCTAGAAGAATCATGCATAAACATCGAGGACAAATGGGGAACCTCTTAACGTCGAGTACCAATAAAATGATCACGCCACCAGTTGGAGTTAGAGGCTAATTTAAACATTTTGGCAAGATATTTTGTGGACATACTTACAAGGTGTACGTTTGCGCATTCTTGTTTTAAGTTTCGTAGCTCGATCAGGTGTTCTACGATAACTTTCATTTTATGTATACCTCCTGATATAGGCTTACGGATCTCGATTGTGATTTGGATTGATTTGCTCTTCCTCAAGTACAGCAAACTGTTACTCCGAGGTTGTGCCTTTTATTTTAACTGTCTGTGGGACGCGTCGTAGCTCTCACAGTCAATGTAGATCGTGCTCTAAATCCGCCGCAGATAATATGAACATAACTCTAGAGTATTTTATTCTGTTATATAGAATCTTTTCCGATCTCATGTAAAAATATTTGTGTTTTAGAATAGTGCCTTTATTATGTATTTGATATACTGTTGTATTTAGAAATACCTTTTATAATTATTTCTCGTAAAATTAAAACGTTTTCATTTTACTGTTTTTCTGCATTCTGGTTCGTCTGATGAAGTGTAACGCCATGTAGTGTGCAATGAGGAAAGTTATGCTACGACAGCAACACTAGCCTACACATTTTTTTTTATTAAACACCCACATGAAAATGTGGAGGTATATTACCCACCCGTTCGAATATGGTAATAAGCGGATGAATGCTTGTTGAGTTATTGCCCTTTACTTAGTAAAAATGCGTCAATTTTGGTTTGTTTTTCACTTTTATGCATAGTGGGGGATAGCTTGAGAAGCACCGAGTCCAAAAACCCGGGTAACATCGATTTCCGAGATAAAAAAAATCGACCCTTAAATGGATTTTGGTACCACAGGTAGCTACCTGTTGAAATTTGCCAATTTTTACTTTTTTGAAAATCCAAATTTTGCAGCTTCACCACGGCCAAACCACTTGAGATATGAAGATGAAATTTACGCAGCAACCAGTTTGAAATCTCAGCTTTGCAATGCCACAAACGGCGATTCCATATCTGCCTTACTTTGGAAGCACTGAGTGTTTAATGTTTGTCCATGAAAAACCGGATTTTTTGGCACTTTTCCGCAAAAAAAAAGTGCTCAGAATTCACTTTTATGCACATTGGGGAAGAGCTAGAGAAGCACCGAGTCCAAAAAACCAGGTTACATTGATTTCCGAGACCAAAAAATTTCAACCCAAAAATGGATTTTGGTACCACAGGTAGCTAGTTGAGCACTTCTTGTGCATCACTGTGCAGACTACAAATAGCTAGTTTGAGAACTTACAGATTTTAATTTGATTTCTTGTGTTTTTTTTAAGTCCCTGGGGTCTGATTAGTAGGAAAAGATCAAAACTTGAGTAAAAAAGGTGTATTTGAAAAAGTTGGCTATTAGCCATAATTTCCTCTATGGCCAATATGCATGAAAAATGTCAAAAATTATTTTCTATTCTATGGCAGATATTTGAGTTCTGTTTTTTCTGACATCTGCAGATAGTCTATGTGAATATTGGTGCAAATTTCAGCCTTGTATCTTTGTAAGTTTTAAGCAACAAATTTATTTGTGTTTGATCACTTCTTATACTCCACTGTGCAGACTGCAAATAACTAGTTCGGAATATTTCCAGATTTAATTTGATTTCTTCTGTTTTTTGAAGTCCTTTGTTGTCAAATGTGAAAAAATATTTTCTGTTCAATGGCAGATATTTGAGTTCTGTTTTTTCTGACATGTGCAGATAGTCCATGTGAATATTGGTGCAAAATTTCAGCCTTGTATCTTTGTAAGTTTTTACGGAAAAAAATTATTTGTGTTTGAACACTTCTTTTGCTCCACTGTGCAGTCTACAGATAGCTAGTTTGAAAACTTACAGATTTTACTTTGTGGTTTTTGAAGTCCTTGGAATGTAAAATATAAGAAAAGAACAATTCTTGATCAAAAAAGGGTTATTTGTCGAAAATGGGTAATAGTCGTATTTGGTTCTAGGGCTTGTGATTGTAATTTGGTGCTTTGGATTTTTTGAGGTGGAAAATAGCAAATTTTGTGCAAAATTAAGTTCCTTGGAAAAATTTGGTCATTTTTTGAATCTGTGGTCTTTTTTCAGGAATAACGCCCATAATTCTTCTATAAGGGCAGATTGTTTTAGAGATTGTTTTAATGGATTTTCCCTGGAAACTATTGTAGTTTAGTAAATAATTGTTTTTATAATTTGATTTTAACTAAAAATGATGCGACTATTGCCTTTACCAGAGGAAAGAAAAAACAACACGGTTCGGACTATGTAGAAGGTTAATTGAATAGTAATCAAGACAATCAGTAACTGGTTACTAGTGACTACTCGCTCAGTCAGTCTGCTTTGTTTATAGCAACCGGTAAGTCGTCTTTTTGAATTTCTCTGAAATTTTAGATAAATTTCAATAAATGTCCCCTTCCTCTCGATTTGAAAGAGTAATATTTATTGTATTAGATATATTAATGTAATACTCATTGCAAAAATCCATTGCACATTTTTTTGAGATAAAAATGAAGCAAAGCTTGGCTTTAACTAGGACTCAAAATAAGGAATATGAATAGAAAAAGACGGAATTTTTTGGCTCCCTTTCTCAAATTACTTTTATATTAAGTAAAGTTTCTTGCCTTACTTTATTTACCCTTCTCCACCCCTCCGGCCTCCTAAACGAATTAATCGTAGTTCATTCGCCCCTTCGGATGAGAGAATAACGCCACCCAGACACCGATAGACCTTTGACTGCTGATAGACATATGCCGATGACAATTTCAGCTCAATATAATATTATGGTATTTTCAAAAAATAATGTAATTCACAAATAATCCACTTCATAACATCTCTTCATCATAATTCCCGAAATGTCTATATAAATAGTCCAAGTTTCTTTATGTGTCTGACGATCATGGGGGAAACACGTCAAACGCTTCATGAAATTTTAACCAGTGTAATGGTTAAGTTAAAATGCAGTTACAGAAGAACAGTTTTTTTCAAAAAGGATGCGTAACTATTCAACATAGTATTAATATGTTACACATCTTCGCCACTATCTGTCAAATGAACACATCGATAACATTTAGATTTTGTCTTTTCGTTTCAGGCCAGGGTGCTCAATAGTGGCTTTTACTATTGAGTTAATACACATAGTTGGGATACCATTCCCGTGGAGGTTAGTATATCATAGATGTACATTATAAGCGTATAAAATTGAGCACTATACAAATAAACCGTACGCGTATAATCCTTTCTTGAAAATGATGTATCAAGAATGTTCAATGTAGTCTGATAAACTTTGATACAACATATATCATGATGGAAGTCATTTGATACTAGCTACAAGTGAGGGTTTTACTAGACACCTGCAAGTGATAACAACTTAATCTTCCATTGGTACAATTTTTCTGACTTGATTGAACCAACCTTTAGATTGTGATTCTGAAAAGTGTTACATATAGTTTGAAGTGTGCTTGATCAGAAAGGAACAATAATGAATTATTTCCTGGTCAGTCCCAGTGACATTTATGTTTATACATCAGTTTTAATGGGCCAAATTATTACACATGTAAAACAAAAAGTTTATTTCATGGTTGTATTATTGTGGTGTTTTCTTATATTTCAGGGTTTCAAGTATAGTAGCTCGTCTTTAGCTACGGACAACATGGTTAGATATGGTGTACAACCTAGGTTTTTGGAGGTAGCTCACAAGGAGCAAAATTTTCGCGTTTACGGGTTGGGCTCGCGTGTAGTTTAGTTGTGGCAGCCTGTGGGCTACCTTGCTAGGGCCACCTAGGTTGTACTCGGCTAAGCTGCCATATCATGTCCGCCCAGCCTCTCTTGGAACAAATGGCGGTAAGTCATTCTCATTTTATAATATTCAGATATTTGTTGACTTCTACCTAGTTGATTTAGAAAAGGTGTGCGAGTTTACTTTATATATAACCTTTGATGTAGTAGAAATAAATCCCACTTTCGTAAGCCAATTACAAGTCGTGTCTCATATAGTATAGCTGTACAGAATCACCTCTTTCACAATTTTCCAATGAATCTGGTTGAGAATTAATTTAAATCATTGATGGGAATAAGGACTTGAAGGATCAGGGGTTAGATAAGCAAATCAAATCACCTTTATTCAATCAAGATGAGCTGGATCAGTTAGCATAAGCAGGAAAATTACGTTTTTTATGCGGAGGAATTTTCCCGCAAGGGTGTTTCGCAACTTAAAACATAGACAATAAAATGCCAAGTATGGGGATCAGTTCTTGATTGGTTTCAGATGAAAACACCTTGAAAATGGCAATGAGGAAACATCCTAATTTTTTTCTGAATTGTCTCTATTAATACTAGGTAGAAATCAACAGGTATTAGACTATTACTTGATAAAAAAAACCCTGTGCACTATTCTTGCAACAAGACGGTCATGATGTTGATTGCAACAAAATATCTAATTGCGGACTGTCAAGATTGATTAGGGTGAAAATGTACAGTATATTGTATTCTGTGATAAAATAAATAACGTATTAAATATCTTATTTTAGGAGTGCATTTCTAGATCGCTATACAATTGAAATATTGAGCAATATTTCAACAGTGAAAGTTTTTGTTATTGTAATTTTAGATCGTATAGGGTGAAACTCTGAGTTACGACATGATTTTTGAGGTTCTGTTTAATTTTTCTAATTTTAGGTGTATACAGATAGAGCTTCAATATATATGAATAAAGTGCTTATGGTGTGGCATGGAAGCTCTTCGTGTAAGTTTCAAATTATCATATTTTAAAAATTCTGTTAACGCCTATTCTGGCATATCATGCATAATGTCAAATGGTTAAAACATGACGAGGGACGCTTGATGGCTCAGTGTGCTACTGGTTGTGCATCCGAAAGATCTGACAACTGTTGAACATCGAAAACATGTACTACTGGTCTGACAAAATTAAGTTCATTACACACTACATGTTGTATGTTCTCATTATCCCAATCAGATGCAGAAAAGAAAAACGTAAAACATCACCTTATTCCATGTTTTCAATCTAGAACAAGTTATGACAACTCGGTATCCCTTGAACAGTACACTTTTAGGGAACTCTGAATTAAAACTGGGTGGTTTTCCATTCTTAAATACATTTTTTCTCGATCCTTTAATCTTTAGTGTAGGTTATTATCCGATACACCACCACTCTTGAAATTATTTTATTCAAACATGGCTGAAGAACACTGCTGTGTTGGCGACAGCTAGTTCTTTCCCTGTTATAGTAAGAGATCTGTAAGTAGTAGTAGGTTCGTTACTATTTTGGTTTCAATCCATTTCAGGTTTGAAAGGGTGAATCGTCTGGTAATTTACCTACCCACTATAGCACTGCCACAATAGGAGTGTTCTGGGGTCATGGCCTGTATGACTCTACAGATCCTCCTACTCACAGATGAAGAACAGAAGAAGCGGCGCGCGCCAACAGATGAAGAGGAACAGATGAAGAACAGATGAAGAGGAACAGATGAAGATGTAGGGCGAATTC